TAATAAGGGAGTAGGGGGTCTAAGCAGAGCCAGCAGTCCTTAGTGAGGTCTGGATTATTAGCATTGAAAAACTCATAAGTATAGAGCAAAGAATTATATAATTCAGGGGTCCCCATCGAGAAACATCATTGGAACTGACATAATTGGTAGGAGGTGGTTTTGGTGGTAAGGGAGGGTTGAGGACCTTATTAGGGCCAATGGTCACTGGAGGGATTAGTGGGATCTCGAACTTCTGAATAGTGAATTCTGACCCAGGATCCTTTCCAGAGGCATAAAGCCGTATTCCCCAGGTCCTTCCCGCAAGCCAGCTTTTATCATCCCCCTTTAATATTTTTAAGACTAGGGGGTTGAGTTTCCCCATGGTCAACCCAGCGGTGCCACGTTGGAGGGAAATCCATCTATCCTTTGATCCAATCCAGGAGGCAAATATTTCACAACTCCAGGTTCCACAATCCCATTCATTTTCATGGTTACAGTCTGGACCCCCATCTGCTGGGCATCCATAAACCTGTAAGTTTTGTAGATGCCTTTCATGATGGGGGCTCCCGCATCCCCAGATTTGAGGAGATGAGACATGAACAGTTACCCTCACTTGTAAAGAAAACAGGTCACAGAGGTCGAACTGGAGAGTAGGGGGATAACTGGTGGTTGTATTGGTGGCTAAAATCTTGCCATCTGAGGTTCTTTTAACTACCCAGTTATCAGGGGATGGTGTGTGGGGATTTTGGTCTCCATACCCAGTTACAGTTTTTACCATCCAGGAGATAGACTAAGAATTAAGATTCTTTTACCAGTCTGATCTTGAAGGGCTTGTCTATTCTTTTTACCGTCCATGTTTCGGGAATGTGATCCGGATGAGTTCTTTTAACCTGGGAGCGGTGTATCCAGTGGGCCTGTCTGGCAACTTTAACAGCTGTTGGTACAGGCCAGTCCACTTGGGTTCGAGGTTAGGCATTTGATGTCTGCGGACCCAGACCCAGTCACCAGGTTCCAAATCCGCCTGATCAGTGGTCAGCTGGGGATGATCAGACTCACGGAGTCTCCTGCACCAGGCCTTGCACCTGGCTTAGGGTGCTTTGTAGAGCCTGTAAAAGTCTGTGATTAGATATTTCCACCAAGTGTTCCTCTCCCAAGTGAGGGATGAAGGGTGGAGGTCGTCCAAACAAAATCTCAAAGGGAGTAATTTCTTTCTTTCACATAGGAGGTACACCTCGCCTTGAGAAGGGAAAAGGGAAGAGTACTCACCCAGTTACCATCAGTCTCTGTTATTAACTTACTTAAAGTCTCCTGGAGAGTTCTATTCATTCATTCTACCTGACCTGAACTCTGGGGGTGATACACACAATGCAGTTTCCAGTCTATCTGGAGGGAAGAAGCTAAGGATTTAGAGATATGGGCTATGAAAGCCAGGCCACTGTCAGACCCCAGACAAATAGGGATGCCAAATCGAGGTACAATCTCATTTAGTAGCTTTTTGGCTACTACCTGGGTGGCCTCAGTGTCTACCATGAATCTGGTAGGTTTCCCTTCTACCTGTAAAGTGACCCTTGGTTCCTGAAGATTGAGGGAAACACCAAGGCCATGTCCTGCCTCTTTAACAGCCAGGGAAGTCTCTTTTCCCTTGCAGTTAGGGCATTCATCCTTCCAGGGGCCTTCTTTGTAGTAAGTACACTGGTTTCTTCTGATCCTGGGCTTGTCTGACCCATGCCTTGGAGGGTTACAGAGATCTTTCCCGTCCCTCTGAGGCTGCCTAATATCCCTTCCTAGAGAAGCCATTAACACCTTTCTTATCTCCTTTCCTTGTTCCTGAGTGAGGGAGTCCTGGTTAATATAAACCCTCTGGTCTATTTCCATTAACTCAGATATTAATTTTCCTTTGAAGCCCTCTACTTTCTGTAGTTTTTTCCTGATGTCTGGGGCTGACTGAGAAACGAAGGCAATATTTAAGGTCCTTAGGGTCAATAGGGGTGTAGAGGCGGTGGCTTGGTAAAGCCTTTCAAGAAAGGCAGCTGGGGACTCACCTGGCTCCTGTACAGTCTGACTGACCTTAGATAAATTTGTGGGTTTCTGGGCTGCCATTCTCAGTCTCTGCAACAGAGTCTGGTAGTACCTGGAAAGGTGATCCCGCCCCTCAGTGGTGTTGGGGTTCCATTGTAGTCGGGCAGATGGAAAGACCGTCTCAATAACTGTCCGGTCTTGCGAGGGGAGGCCATCTGCCCCCAGGACAGAATGGGTAGCCTCTTGCAGAATCCTGGTTTGTTCCTCAGAGGTGAAGAGTACCTGCAGGAGCTGATGGCAATCGTCCCAGGTGGAACAATAGGTTATAAAAATGGAACTGAGCAAATCAGTGCATTTGGAGGGGTCCTCTGAAAAAGAAGGGTTCTGAGACTTCCAGTTATAAAGATCAGTAGTGGAAAAGGGGGCATAAACAAACAGAGATTGGCCTTCTTCCCCATTGTTTCTACGTGTGGAGGTGACCTCTCACAGAGGTTAAAGGGCTGGGGGAACCTGGGATGTGGAGGCTCCAGCCAGTCTCCATATCTGGTTCCCGTCTGGGTGTGGGATAAGATTTGCATATCACCATCTGGAGGGGAATTGTCATCAGCAGAATCTGCTTGTGGTGGAGGTCACAGAACCTGGGGAATATAGGGAGGGAGGTCTAGGGGATCCTCATTCTCCTGGATAACAGGGTAAAATCTCTTAGGTTTAGAAACAGGGAAGAGAGTGGGGGGGAGCCAAGGGACGAAGTAGAGATGTCCTCTTCGGCTGAGAAGCCTTCTGGCATCATTTGATCCATTGTGGCGAGTCATTAAGTAGATCAACCCATGTAACTATGTAGGGGATCTGGTCAGGATGAAAGTGGTTACAAATCCTGCAAACAGAAGCCGTGATGGTTAGATCATAAGTTCCTTCAGGGGGCTAATTGGTCTCATAGAAGGTTGGCCATTCTAGTTCACACAGGTCTGGAGTCTGGGGGCTTTGACTCAAAAGCCATAGCTTCCTGCTCTTTTCCTAAAATCAGAGAAATTGTTTAACATACATTCCAATGGGGTAGCACTCTTAGACTCATTCTGACCCATGAGAAAAACAGACACTATTCTAAAACACAGAATAAGATATGCACAAACAGACAACACCAACCAGGTTGCCACTAGGTCTAAGACCCAGAAAAATGACCTAAACATTAGACTTCATAGCCAGGCGGGTCTGGGGGTGTCCCCTTCAGTGCCCAACTAGGGGGAGGTTTGCTGCGTCCAGCTTCCTGCCTAATAAGTCTGATCAGATCCCAGAACCAGATGGCAAAGTCACCGGCTAGCCAAAATCAACAGAGAAACCAAAACAAAATGATTTCTGGAGTGCACTCTTACCTTGCTGGTGGTGTGGCGGGAAGGCCTGGGGAATACAGGAGTGGTGAGGACTGAAAAGCAGGTCCCCTCACAGGGAGTTCACCAAAAACGCCAGCACACAAGGCCCTCCGGATCTGGTGGAACCTCCAAATGTTACAGGTCAGAGTTCACAAAAAAAATCACCAACACCACTTCAGTGGAAGGTAGCAAGGTAAAATTTTATTACGACCAGTGGGGCTGTCTATCTCGGGAGCAGAAAGAGCCCTGGACTTTAACCGGTGTGCTGGATAGCTTTAGTGTGAACTTGACTCATCTGGGTTGAGAGAGCCTCAATTGGGACTTGCCTTCATTCGACTGCCCTGTGGCCACGTCTGTGGGGCAGCTTCTTGATTGTTGTGTGATGTGGGCCCAGATCACTGTGGGTGGTGCTACCCCTGGGAAGGTGGGCCTGTGTTGCATAAGAAAGCAGGCTGAGTGGGGGCCAGGGGATCAAGCCAGTAAACAGTGTTTCTCCATGTCCTGTCCTCCTGCCTTCAGGTTCTTGCCTGAGTTCCTACCTTGGGCTCCTTGATGAACTATGACCGACGAGATGTAAGCTGAATAAACGCTTTCCTCCCCAAGTTGGTAGTGGTCAGAGTGTTTTGTTGCAGCAATGGAGAATCAAACTAGGACAAAGGGCCAGGGTTTTCATAGGATTATAGAACACACTGCCCAAATAGAACGTCTGTGGGCCAGTCAGGTTTGTACAACATAGCATATTTTGAATTCATCAGTCAACAGCCTTTCATTGTGCAGTCAAGTGAAGCACGCGTACAACTTGGCAATTTTAAAATTAGCCAAGTACCTAGCCATAACAAGCATTGTAACAGAAGCCAAAATCAGCAGTTACCAGATAGTCACTGAATAACACGGTGGTCTCATATTACATGTCAAGGTGACCTAAAATAGCAGAGCAAGCAAGTTACAGAAGCAAAATAAGCAGTTAGCCAGAAGCAGGATGTCCCAGATCAGCACATTCCGTGGTTTTATGTAGGCCATTTTCACGGAACTCAAGGTTGTTCCCCCTTCTGGGTATTTCCCATAAGTAGGGCAAAAGTCACTGCTGAAATGGCTGCTCTGGGCAAAATGAATAACTTAGGTCTGGTTGCTAACACAATTCAATTTTGAACTCTGTAACAGCAGCTACATAATATCATAAAACTTATACAAGATTTAAGTATGTAGAGAGTAACACTGTTAAAAAAAATCATTTTTCTCTTCAAACCCACGCGCGACTCCTACCTCGGCCTCTGGAGTGCTGAAATGACAAATATGCAACAAAAGAAAAATTGCGGACTGGCGGGAAACACAGCCTTACAGAGGATTCTGGGACATGTAGTCCAGATGCTTTGCGCGATGAGCGCATTTCTCCTCCGGGGGAAAGCGCGACTTTACACTAGCTCCATGGGGCAAATGGGGAAACTAAAATACAATTCAGTATTCTGCGTGTGTGGTTGGTTTTCGGCTGCTTGAGGGCAAGAAAACAAAGTCGGGTCTTCCCCGAGACTCTGAAGAACACCACTCAAGGGAGACGCGCCGGCGCAGACACTTCCGGCTAGTAGGCGGGTCTTGACTCTAGGAATTCTGGGAGTTGTAGTTCTGGCGCTCAGCGTTGCCAGAGCACTTCCGCTGCAGGGGTTGGCGCTTGAGGCCTGCGTTCCCAGGAGGGAGGTGAGCGGATGGGGGTGGACTCCAAGACCTCGTGACGTCTCTTAACCTACTCGTGGGAAGAACGGGGTCACGATTGGGTTGAAGAACACGGACGGTCACTATGGGGGATGCTTCACGAGTCTCAGGGTCTGACTGGAGGAGGACCTGGACCTGGAAGCGTTTGGGATGTCCTGGCTCCGTGATGCCCAGCCCGCCAATCCCTTGCCTTTCTGGCAGCATGACACTGAATGAGAATGTTTCTGTGCCTTAGTTTCCCCTCCTGCCAAAGGGAACATTAGGAGTGCCTTTATACGTTTGTTTTCAGAGTCAATGATAGAACCACTTGCAGGAAGGGAGGCTGCTCTTGGATGACTACTGACCAGTTATATGTATTTATTTATTTATGAGTACTGTTTACATATGTGCTGTGTGTGGTGATATTTTGGTATCGCTGTGTCCGTACATACTATATGTTTCTGTAGCTCTTGTTATGTGTTGTAGTCATGTGGCCCTGAATGTCTGTCACTCCACATATGATGTCTGAGTACAATTTTTTATGTCTGAAAATGTTGAGGCAATTTTTATCTTTTTAAAAAATATTTTATTTTGGGGCTGGAGAGATGACTCAGCAGTCAAGAACACTGGTTGTTCTTGCAGAAGACCGTGCTTGAATCCCAGCACCCACATGGCAGCTAACAACCATCTGTAACTCTAGTTCCAGGGGATCCAACGGCCTCTTCGGTCCTCCGCGGGCATCGCACTACACGGGTGCACTTACCTACATGCAGGCAATACACTCATAACATAAAATAAAAATAAAAAATATATATTTTAAAAATATTTTATTTATTATTTTACAGATGGTTGTTAGCCTGGGAATTGAACCCAGGTCCTCTGGTAGAGCAGCCAGTGCTCTTAACCACAGAGTCCTCTCTCCAGCCCCCTTTCTCTTTTTTTAAAAACTAATTTTATATGTGCATGTGTGTGCCTGAGTGTATGTGCACCACATGCATGCAGTGCCTTTGGAGGTCAGAAGAGGGCATCAGATCCCCGGAACTGGAGTTACAGGTGATTATGACCTACCATGTGGGTGTTGAGAATTGAACCCGGGTCCTCTGCAGGAGCTGCCAGTGCTCTCAACCACTGAGCCATCTCTCCAGCCCCAGTAATTTTCTTTTTTGAGATGGGGGGGGGGTCTTGTGTAGCCAAGGCTGCCCTCAAACTCTGTGTAGTCTGAGCTGGCCTTGAACTCCTGATCCTCCCACCTCCACCTCCCACGTGCTGGGATTATAGGTGTGCCCCATTCTGCCTGGCTAAGAATAGATGCATGTGTTCTCACGTTTTTGGAGAGAAGTTCAAGATGAAGGCATGTGCATGCATGCACACACCTAATTAAAGGGACTTTGCTTCTGAGACCTCCCCGATGATGTGGGAGAATGCTTCTGTTGTCCCTTTGTAGATTAACATGACTACTTCTATATTAACATAATTACTTTTTTTTTTTTTTAAACGTTCAGGTCCAGGGCTCACACATGCTAAGCAGGTGCTCTCACTAAGTTCTATCTCCAGTCTTCTAGTTACTTTAAAAGCAGTATCTCAAAATTCTGTCATATTCTGAGAGCCTTGGAGTTAGGACTTTAACAAGGATTTGGAAGGGAGCACAATTCCATTCCCAACAGAAGCCAACAGTAATGTAGCCTGGTGAGATGGCTCAGTGGGTAAAGGCACTTGCCACCAAGCCCGATGACCTGAGTTCAAGCCCCCAAAACCACATGGTTGAAGAACAGACTCCTACAGGTTGTCCTTTGACCTATACATACACCTTAGGTGTGCACATATGTGTGCACACCTAAATAAATGAATATAAAAAAGTAAATTGAAGCTGAGTGTGGTGACTGATGCCTTTAATCCCAGCACTAGGAAAACAGAGGCAAGTGGATCTCTGTGAGATGGAGGCCAGCCTGGTCTACATAGTGAGTTCAGGCCAGCCGGGGCTGCAGGGAAACCCTGTCTCAAAACGACCTGAAGGAATGAATGAATGAATGAATGAATGAGAACAACAAGGGAAATGGTGAGTTTATTTGGCTCTTTTGGAGTTGTACCTGTCACTGATGTGAGCTGACTCTCGCCTCTTCTTTCATCCTCATTTCCTGCTCTCTTGTTAGGCTGCAGGGGCCTCTGTTCATGGACCTCATAGTCTCAGAGTGCCTGGCAATATATTGGCAAGGAGGAGTTACCCAGTAAGTGTGATTCATGAGCCTGCCCAACACTGGAGCTTTGGGATCCAACCACAAAACGGACAAAATAGATTCCTTGTCTCACTTATTTTGGTGAGCTGTAGAATCCATCAACATCAGAGTATTCAAAAGTCGATGTACAGTTAGGAATGGTATTCTCAAGACCTTGATCACCTATTCACCTGCTATATGTATTTATTTACCGCAAAGCACTGTTTACATATGTGTATTGTGTGTATTCCTTTAGAAACAAATCACAATTTATGTTCGCTGTTTTGTATACTTGCATTGAGAGCCTCACGGGAATAATGAGAACAGCTAATGTTTGTGGGGTGCTATGTGCATTGAGCTTTTTGTTGTCATGACAAAATACCTGAGAGAAAAAAATACTGAAGAGAGAAGATTAATTTTGCCTCACAGTTTCAGAGGCTTTGTTCCATAGCCAGTTGGCCCTATTGCTGGGGTGAAGGCAGAACATTGTGGCAGAGCAGCATGGCGGATCAGAGCTGCTCGCCTCTTGGCAGCGGGGAAGCAGAGAGTACACCGGTGCTATTGGATGTCTCCTTTTATTCCATCTGTGCCTGGTCTAGTGGAAGGTGCCAGCCATATTCAGGGGTGCCCCTGGTTCCCCCAAACCTCTGAAGGTGCACCACTCAGCTCTCTTCTCCTTTGTCTTTAGAGCCCTTTTTCTTTTCTTTAAGGTTGATTTTATTTTATGTGTATGAGTGTCTTGCCTGCGTGTATGTAAGTGCACCTCGTGTATGCAGTGTCCACAGAGGCCAGAAGAGGGCGTTGGGTCCTCTGGAACTCCTGTTACAGATGATTGTTAGTCATCATGTGGGTGCTGGGAACCAAATCTGGGTCCTCTGCAAGAGCAGCCAGTGCTCTTAACTCCTGAGCCATCTCTCCAGCTCCTTTAGTCCTGTTTCCATTTCAGTACCTGTCTGTTGTCCCTTGCTCTGAGTTAATCATTTTTCTATCTGTGAGACCATAGATTCCTATCTATCTGTTTTTGTCTTCAGAAGCAACAGAAAGACAAGGCTTACAATGCTGGCTCCAGTGTGAGAGCTGGGCTCAGGACCACGCCTGCCTCCCACCCAGTGGGTGGGACAGCTGTTGTGTTGGTTGGTTGATGCCCTAAGATGTCAGGTACTTCCTCAAGGGCACTGCATGCCTCTGTTCATCTATTCCACATAATAGTCCTGGGACTGACATGCTGTTTCTGTCCTTTTTTACAGCTGAGGATGCGCTCAGTGGTTCAGCTGGTTAGTCCAAAGTCACACGACTGACAAACAGTAGCTTCTTCCCAGGTATGTGAGGGACCGTCTCAAAACAGTGCAAGCCAGTGCTGCTCAGGGCTCCTGTCATGAACTTAACTGTAAAGTGAAACATTACAATTTTTGTTGTTTTATTTTTCATTTATTTATTTAATATTGAGATAGGGTCTCAGTATGTAATCCCGGCTGGTCTTGAACTAGTGGTAATCCTCCTGTGTCAGTCTCTCCTGAGTGCTGGAATTACAGGTGTGTGCCTCCATGCCCAACTCTGTGCGTGCGTGTGTGTGTGTGTGTGTGTGTGTGTGTGTGTGTGTGTGTGCGCGTGTGCGCGTGCGCAGGTGCATTCAGAGGCTGACACTGGGTGTCCTGCTGAACCACTCTCTGCCTTGTTCCTTTGAGACAGTGTCTCTCACTGAGCCTGGAGATAGGTTAGCAGCCAACAAGCCCCAAAGATCCTCCTGCCTTTACCCCCCATATCACTGACGTCACAGGCTCAGGTGTGACTGTGCCAGGCCTTTGCGTGGGTGCTGGGAATTTGAACTCTGGTCTTCATGTTTGTGCAGCAAATGTTCTTACCCACTGAATCATCTTTCCAGCCCATTTTATACATATATATATATAGTAGCTTGTTAATTTTAATAATGTACTGATTATCAATTTGAGGCTAAATAAATCTTAGAGAAGTTTTATTAAGTTTTCTTTATCTCCGTGTTTTTATTGATCTGGGGAGATGGATGGCTCAGTGGTTAAGAGCACTGGTGGTTCTCACAGAGGACCCAGGGTCAGTTCCCAGCACCCACATGGCAGCTAACAACTGTCCTTAACCCCAGTTCCAGGGGATCTGATGCCTTCTTTAGCCTCTGTGGGTATTGCATGGCACAGGTGTACTTACATACATGCAGGGAAAACACTTATATGCCTAACATTTTAAAATTAATTTTTATTTTTAATTCCATGTGTATGTGTCTGTGTCTGGTTATATGTGAGTGCAGGTTCCTGCAGAGGCCAAAAGATAGCATCGGGTCACCTGGTGCTTGAGTTACAGACAGTTACAAGTCACCTGATGTGGGTGCTGGGAGCCGAACCCTGGTCATCTGCAAGAGCAGCAAGGCTTCCTAACAACAGAACCATCTCTGTAGCCCAATGAAATAGTTTTTGTTAGGCTCTCCTGTTAACAAGGTAAGTTTTGCAAGATCCTATGTTCGTTGAAAGCTCATCATCCATATAGTTCATAGAGACAGTGGTTACCAGTGGCTGTGGGGTTGGGGTTGTGAGTGATGGGTACAGAGGCACAGTCTGGGCTGATGCTCATGTTCTGATGAACTATGGTAGTGGTTGTACAACCATGTAAGTGAGCTTACTAAAGTATACACTTAAAATGGCTGGAGAGGTGGTTCAGCGGTTAAGAGCATTGACTGCTCTTGCAGAGGACTCAGGTTCGATTCCCAGCACCCACATGGCAGCTATGAACCGTCCTTAACTCCAGTTCCAGGGGATCTGATGCCCTCTTCTGACCTCCGTGGCTATTGCATGACATGGGTGCACTTACACACATGCAGGCAATACACTCATGCATGTAAAATGAAAATAATACATTTTTTAAGAAAATGATTCAAATGAAGCCAGTCATGGTGGGATGTGCCTATAATCCCCAGCTCATAGATGGTGGATGCAGGGGAATGAGAAGTTCAAGACCAGCCTTGGCCACATAGCAAATTTGAGGCTACCCTGGGCTATGTGAGATTCTGTCTCAAAAAATCTGAAACAAACAACAAAAAAGATTAAAACAGTAAATTTAATTTATTTTATTTTGATTTTTAATTATGTGTATGTATATCAGGGGAAAGGTGGTGTGTGCCCATAAATGTATGTGTCTGTGGATGCCAAAGGCATTGGATCCCCTGGAGCTAGAGTTATAAATGGTTGCGAGCTGCCAGATACAGGAGCTGGGAACCAAATTCAGGTCCTCTGGAAGAGCGGGAAGCCTCTTACACACTGAGCCATCACTCCATCCCCCAAAATACATTTTATATTATATAGTTTACTAACATAACTGCAGTCATCTGTCGTCTTTAAGTGTTGTTTAAAGGCGTCAAGTGAAAAATGACAGAAGAGGAAAATAAGAAAATCCAGAGGTTGAAAGAGATTTTCAGCCAATTAGAGCAGCAATCTCTGAAGGCTCTATTGATGGAAACCATTTATGAGGACCGGTTTTGTCACCAAATAGTACCTGCTTTTCAGCAGTTAAGGGATAAGACACTGTGAAAGTATTCTTTGATCTTTTATCTGACTTTAAAGTAACTTTTAAGACAACCCTGTGATATTGAGTCTCTCACTGCTAAATATTTCCATTTTGTAGATGAGGCATGACACTTGGAGGCTGAGGCAGGGAGGGCAAAAAGTTCAAGAAACAAACAAGGGGCCGGGCATGGTGTCACACCTTTGCTCCTCGTGCTTGGAAGGCAGAGGCAGGAGGATCTCTGTGAGATCGAGGCCAGCCTGGTCTACATAGCTAGTTCCTGGCCAGTTGTGGCTACAGGAAAACCCTGTCTCAAAAAGATTCCCTGCCCCCCAAAAAAATCCTTAACCCCAGTTCAGGAGATCCCACACCCTCTTCTAGCCTCCCTCGTCACTGTAAGCACTTACATGCAGGCAAAACACTCCTACACATTAAAAAAAAAAAAAAAGCAAACACAAGAACCAAACTCACACCCACGAAGAGCTGAAGCACAGAGATCCTAACAATCTGTCCAAGGTTTCACAGCCACTGAGTTGCAGTGCTGTGAATCTAGGCTTTTGAGCCCCCAGTACTCCTTTACCCTGAGTACTTGATTGCATTTCTGCTGTCCTGAGATTCTGAATCATAACCTCAAGACCCGCAGGTGACCGTGTGGCATGAGTGAACTGGGTGGGGTTGGCCATGTGTCTTATTACCAGGGTTCTGAGTTGACAGAGTGAGGTGTGTCCGGACTCCAGCTCCCTCTGTCATCCAGACACACCAATGATTGGACACCGTGGCAGTTCTTCACACAAAGCAGCCACATGGGCCAGAGACACCCCAGACCAGACTCTGACGGGTCGTCTCCTCTCTCTCATAATGTCTTCCTAAGACAGCTGTTCCCAGGACGAGGAGGCCAGAATGACCAAGTTCAAGGTGAGCTGAGCTTACTTTTCTAGGTTTCAAATTGTCTAATTTCTCAAGGATTTCATACATCTTGCTTCTTTCTCTGAACAAGAATTAAGGCATTTAAGAACCTGTTGTGTGTTAGATGTTTGTTACCTTTTATTTTAATATAGATTCATTTTTGTTTCTTAAAAATCACTTTGTGCCAGGCATGGTGGCGCATGCCTTTAATCCCAGCACTTGGGAGGCAGAGGCAGGTGGATCTCTGTGAGTTCAAGGCCAGCCTGGTCTACATAGTGAGTTCTAGGACAGCTGGGGCTACAGGGAGACCCTGTCTCAAAAAGACCAAAAAAAAAGAAAAATCACTTTGTAATTAGATAAATGGACATAGGATGGAAAAGCAAATAACAGCGAATAAATTCTTATTCAATTTTCCTTGTAAAACCACCCCATTTTCCTGTCTTCTATTTTTCATGTATCATGATGGTTTATTTATAATCATTATGAAGATAAAATTCTTAAATTACACTTTTTCAAGGAATATTATATGTACATCCTAAATTTTTTCCCCCTAAATTTTTTTTTTCCTTTTGTGCCAGAGGTCAAATCCAGGGCCTAGCCTGTGATAGGCCAGGGCTCTACCACTGAGCCACACCCCAGCCCCTCACTGGGGAATTCTAGGCAGGGGCTCTACTCCTGAGCCACACCCCAGCCCCTCACTGGGGGATTCTAGGCAGGGCCTCTACCACTAAGCCACACCCCAGCCCCTCACTGGGGGATTCTAGGCAGTGTTCTACCACTGAGTCACACCCGCAGTCCCTCACTGGGGGATTCTAGGCAGGGGCTCTGCCACTGAGCTATTATATCCCAAGGCTTGATTCTTTTCAGATAGAATATTGCTATGTAGCTAAGTCTGTTCTCAAACTCATAATCCTCCTGCCTCATGCTCCTTAGTGCTGGGATTGTAGGCGTGATCTGTCATCTACACCCTATGTTTTTTGTTTGTTTTGTTGTTTATTTTGTTGTTGTTGTTTTTGTCTTTTTGAGACAGGGTCTCCCTGAAGCCCCAGCTGTCCTGGAACTCACTATGTAGACCAGACTAGCCTTGAACTCACAGAGATCCACCTGCCTCTGACTCCCGAGTGCTGGGATTAAAGGTGTGTACCACCACACCCGGCTATACCCTACATTATATTCTCTACATTATATTACATATATTACATTATATTCTCTACATTATATTATATAATGCCTACATTATATTCTCTTAAATGATATGATCTGTAGAAGGAGGGGTGAATGTAGCCAGTGTTTTTTCTTTATCCACAGACATTTAGATAGTTCACACATTATAGTAATGTTTATATAAATAAAAGCATTTTCCCCCAAAATAAATTTGAAGGAGTTTTGCTGCTATTTGTTCCTAATGTTTAGGAATACAAAATTGAAAATATACTTTGATACATGTATCAAAGCTGCGCCTCTTCCAGTAGGCCTCTATTGAAAGATTAAGGTGGCATGTGTTTGATGTTGTAGGAGATGGTGACATTCGAAGATGTGGCCGTGGTCTTCAGTGAGGAGGAGCTGGGGCTGCTGGACGCTGCCCAGAGGAAGCTGTACCAGGATGTGATGCTGGAGAACTTCAGGAATGTGGTCTCCCTGGGTGAGCAGATGCTGGATTTGAGCACAAGTCCACGTGCCGTCTCTGGCCTTGGATATGCTTGGAGCTCTTGAAGTAGTTTCTGGTTTCCTAACATCATGACAAACAGAGCTGGGATCTGTCTAGCCTTTTTCCCCTGGCCAATGTGTGTGTGTGTTGTAAATGAGCTGAAAATAGACAGCAAGCTACTATGCTTTTGATCCTTTCTCAAATTATAATCATCTCCCAATTAGTGGGTAGTGATATGCATTTAGTCAAGCACAAATGTTCTTTTTAGCTGAAATAAACTAGGGTTGAGGCACCTGGGGAGAAAACTTTAGAGAACTGGTGTGGTCTCTACATCAGTAGCTCCTGTAACTCCAGGTCCAGGGGATCCAATACGCTCTTTGGCCTCTATGGGTCCCCACATACACATACACATACACACATACAGACACACACACAGCAATAAAAAGAAAGTCTTAAGGGGCTGGAGAGATGATTCAGCAGTTAAAAATACTGGCTGTTCTTGCAGAGAACCAGGGTTCGATTCCCAGTACCCACATGGCAGCTGACAACCATCCGTAATGCCAGCTCCAGGGGAATTTGACACCCTCTTCTGACCTCCATGGCATTGCATGACACAAGTGCACTTACATACATGCAGGCAATACACTCATATACATAAAATAAAATCTTTTAAACAATAAGAAAAAGGGGCTGGAGAGATGGCTCAGCGGTTAAGAGCACTGACTGCTCTTGCAGAGGACCCAGGTTCGATTCCCAGCACCCACATGGTGGCTATGAAGCATTCTTAACTCCAGTTCCAGGGGAATCAAAAGCCCTCTTCTGACCTCCTAGTTGGTCAGTGGAAAAAGGTGGGTGCTACCAAGCCTGATGATGTCAGTTTGAATTCCAGGGCTCACATGGTAGAAGGAGAGAACTAAGTTGTTCTCTGAGCTCCACCTGTACACACACACACACACACACACACACACACACACACACACAGCAACTAACTAACTAGATCAGTCAATCAATCAATAAGGAAACACAGAAGATAGTAGGTCTGATAATACCAGAGCCATTGGCAATCTTTCTAGGACATTGCCAAGAACAGTTTGAAAGAACAGGGAGAGGAGATGATGGAAATAGACCTCTGTCTAATAATTTATACTGATGGCTGTCTGGATATTTGGGGGTCTCTGGAGAAAATGTGTGTCTTCTATTTACTCATATTAAAAGACCGGGAAGTAATAGTTTTGATGCTCTGAAGGTGATACAGTGGAATGGAGTTGGTTCTCTGTGTTCCTTCTTTTCTTTTTGAGACAGGGTCTCCCTGCAGCCCCAGCTGACTTGGAACTCACTTTGTAGACCAGGCTGGATTTGATCTCACAGAGATCCTCCTGCCTCTGCCTCCTAAATGCTGGGATTACAGGTGTGCACCACCATGACCGGCTATGATGTGTGTGTGTGTGTGTGTGTGTATATATATATATATATATATATATATATAATCTCCACAGGCCGTCAGACCATCACACCAGATGTTTTACCCCAGCTCAAGAAAGAAGACAAATTTTGGGTGATGAGGACTACAGCCTGGAACGGTGGCTCTGCAGGTGAGAGGAGCAAGACTGAGCCTGTCCTGCCTCCTGGCATATGCAGAGTTTTGGTTCTGGGGTCAGCAGGGGGCTTTGAACTCCTTATGATTCCCTCCTGCTCTTTTCATTAGTTCCCCATTCGCATTGACTGCTTAGAATAATAGTCATATCATGTCATTCCCCGTGCATGCACATGGTTGTGCAGGTGTGTGCACATGCATGTATGTACACAAGGAGGCCATAGGTCAACATTGTCTTCTCGGTCATTCTCTAAATTTAAAACAATTTATTACGTTTACTTAGTGTGTGTGTGTGTGTGTGTGTGTGTGTGGCACATGGACCACAGCACATGTGTGGGGGTCAGGACACTTGGAGGAGTTGGTTCTCTCCTTTGACCATGTGGATCTCAGGAATTCAGGTCGTCAGGCATGGCAGCACTTTACCTTACCTGACAAGCCATCTCATGGGCTCCCACCCATTTTTTGTTGTTGTTTTTTGAGACAGTGTCTTATTATCCCTCCATCTTGCTCTACAGCCAAGGATGACCTTGAACTCCTGATTTTTCTGTCCCCATTTCCACCTCCCAAAGTGCTGGAATTACAGGCGTGTAGAACCATGCCTGGCTCCCACTTTATTTTATTTTATTTAGTTATTAGTTATGTTTTGGGGGATGTTTTTGAGACAGGGTCTCCTTGTAGCCCCAACTGGCCTGGAACCCACTATGTAGGCCAGGCTGGCCTCAATGTCACAGAGATACGCCTTCTGCCTCCCAAGTGCTAGGAATATAGGCATGCACCACCACACCTGGCTCTACTGAACTTGGAGTTCACTGATTCAGCTGGCTGACCATTGAGCTCAGCGGATCCATCCACCTCCCCAGTGCTGGGTTTACAAGTGCATATGAACAGCCCAACTTTTTGTGTTTTCTGAGAATCAAACTCAGGTTCTCTTAAACATGTACTGTAAGTACTTTACCAACAGAGCTATCTCCCCAGCTCCTAGTCTTGTTTAGTAAAAGACAAGATGCTAGAAATTCAGTGGGGCTTGGTGGTCTTTGCAAGCATAACAAGTCCCTGGAATGATAGGTACAACTAGCCACTTAGATAGGCAGGAGATGGCAAAGGTTGTTCATGTGCCTTTGCTCTACAGCCACAAAAATCTAACTTGTCCCTCATTTGTGAAACTTTGTTGAACTCTAAATGGGTCTGTTAATGGGTAGTGAACGGGAACCTGCTGCACTGCCCCATAACTTGTAGGTCATGTAGACTAGCTAAGGTGATGCGTGATGATAAAGGGAAATGGAGCCTTTCTCTGATCAGGGAACCCTGGGGCTGCAGGCTTAACTCTATAATTTGAGCATCTCTGAACAGAGCATTCAAATGCCCCAGTTCACGTTCTCTCTGAACTTTTAGGAGACAAGAATCTAAACAAGATGAAGTCTCTTCAGGAAGGAGGATTTAGACACCCGCCACACAGGGAGCTTTTCTGTTCACAAATTTGGCAACAAGCAACAAACGAATTAACTGGAGGTCAAGATTCCATGGTAAATACTGGAGAAACTGAATCACATTTGAAATTTGTGCGATATGAATGTAAATGCTTCAGTCAGCATTCATGTCTTCAGGTTCACCACAGAGCACGCCCTGGCCAAAAACCTTATGGAGGGGAGGGATGTGATAAAGGTTCCGTTTGGGGCTCTCATCTTCATGCTAATACAAGAGAGAAGCCCTACAGGTGTGAAAAATGTGACAGCACCTTCTGTCGGTTTTCAAGTCTTCAGTCCCATCAGAGAGTGCATGATAGAGACAAATCAAACAAATCTGATGCATTGTGTAAAGGCTTCAGTCAAAGGCCACGATTTCCCCATCATCAAAGTATCCCCACTGGAGAGAGTCCAAACAAATACGAGAAGTGTAAGAATGCTGGGAAAAGCTCACATCGCCAAGCTCCTTCATTAGTCCACCCAGGAGAGAACCGCTACAAGTGTGAAGAGTGTGGGGTGGACTTCAGTCAGAGCTCATGTCTTCAAGTCCATCAGAGAGTCCACTCTGGAAAGAAACCTTACAAGTGTGAAGAGTGTGGGAAGGGCTTCAGCTGGCGTTCACGTCTACAAGCCCACCAGCGAATCCACACCGGAGAGAAACCGTACAAATGTGATGCATGTGGCAAGGGCTTTAGTTACAGCTCACACCTTAACATTCATTGTAGAATCCACACCGGAGAAAAACCCTATAAATGTGAGGAGTGTGGGAAAGGCTTCAGTGTGGGCTCACACCTTCAAGCCCATCAGATAAGCCACACTGGAGAGAAACCATACAAATGTGAGGAGTGCGGGAAAGGCTTCTGTCGGGCCTCAAATCTTCTGGACCATCAGAGAGGCCACACTGGAGAGAAGCCATACCAATGCGATGCTTGTGGAAAGGGCTTCAGTCGTAGCTCTGATTTTAACATTCATTTTAGAGTCCATACAGGTGAAAAACCCTATAAGTGTGAGGAGTGTGGGAAGGGCTTCAGCCAGGCCTCAAATCTTCTGGCTCATCAGAGAGGCCACACTGGAGAGAAACCCTACAAATGTGGTACCTGTGGGAAGGGCTTCAGTCGGAGTTCAGATCTTAATGTTCATTGTAGAATCCATACAGGAGAGAAGCCCTATAAGTGTGAGAAGTGCGGGAAAGCCTTCAGTCAGTTCTCAAGTCTTCAGGTGCATCAGAGAGTCCATACAGGAGAGAAGCCATATCAATGTGCAGAGTGTGGGAAGGGCTTCAGTGTAGGCTCACAGCTCCAAGCTCATCAGAGGTGCCACACTGGAGAAAAACCATATCAGTGTGAGGAGTGTGGGAAGGGCTTCTGTCGGGCCTCAAATTTTCTGGCTCATCGTGGAGTCCACACAGGAGAAAAACCATACCGATGTGATGTGTGTGGAAAGCGCTTCCGTCAGAGGTCCTACCTTCATGACCACCACAGAATCCACACTGGAGAGAAACCATACAAATGTGAGGAGTGTGGGAAAGGCTTCAGTTGGAGCTCATACCTCAAAGCCCATCAGAGGGTCCACACTGGAGAGAAACCATACAAATGTGAGGAGTGTGGGAAAGGCTTCAGTTGGAGCTCATACCTTCAAGCCCATCAGAGGGTCCACACTGGAGAGAAACCATACAAGTGTGAGGAGTGTGGGAAAGGCTTCAGCTGGAGCTCAAGTCTCATTATTCATCAGCGAATCCATACTGATGATGAGGGTGACAGGGACCCTTCTTCATCAGAGGATTCATACAAGAAATAAACTCTCCAATTTTATGTTTTAATATCTCAAGTGGGTGCTTAAATAATTACCTGGTAACTACCTGAGCTGTCAGCAGAGACAAAAGAGTTGTTTCATAAATGTATGTTTGCTAGACCTATGGTACATAGTTCACACTGTTTGAGAGACCAGACAGCAGAAGAGACCAGTAAGAGTAGAGCTGTGATAGCTTCAGAACCTTGGCCCTCATCAGGTACGTGCAGACAAGATGCTCAGGAAGGACAGATCGGGCCTGGAGTTAATTAGAAGTCCTAAATGTGACAGTCTGTTTCAGTGGAATGTAAACTCCCAAAGGTGGGGACTCTGTTCACTGCCAAATGTCTTACTTTCTAAAGCCCAACACATTGTCTCTTTTCATTAGTAAGTTAGTAGCAAGAAAGGCAGGTATAATAGATCATAGTTCTAATTCCAGCGCTCAAGGGGTTTTCCATGAGTTTGGGATCCACCAGAGCTGCAGTGCGACCATCTCAAGAGACCGAAATAACAGTAAATACGTGCATAGCAGAGACCTCAGGCATTTGAAATATTTTGCTGTGTTGTCTGTAAAAGTTCCTGTAAAATGTCCCCAGAAGTGTTCAGAAGGCTTGTGGGGCCTGTAAACTAGTCACATGGGCTCATTTTCTCAACCCTACTGGGAATATCTATCAAAAGGAAGGTCTCAGCCTGTCAGCATGTCCAGAATCTGTTGTGGACATTTTTTTTATTCCTAACCACTTCATTGAAGTGTAATTTGCACGACAACATGCACAAATCTTGTTTATGGCTTCCTAAATTTTGACCAATGTATGCATATGTATAATAATTATCACCAACATCAATGTATATAATATTTTTACTAAGCAGAAAGATACTGTACACCCCTTTCTGGTCAGTCCCCTTTAATGCCGGCAAATATGATTTCCATACTTCAGATTCCTTAGGTTTGTTTTGAGCTTCCTGTGGGCTAAGTATGCACCATTTGTGGGTTCTTTTTTCATTTATATGTTTATGTGTATGAGTGTTATACCTGCATGTATGTATGTATACCACATGCATGCAATGCCCACGGAGGTCAGAAGAGGGCATCAGATCCCTGGAACTGGAGTTAAAGACAGTTGTTAGCCACCATGTGGGTGCTAGGAACCAAACCCACGTCCTCTGGAAGAGCATTCAGTGCTCTTAACCACTGAGCCATCTGTCCAATTCCTGTTTGCAGGTTCTTTTCTGAACAGATACAGGGAAAACATTGAACAGATTTTACCGTCTATCCATGCTGAAAATTCTCAGTGAGATAAATTATCTATGAAATCTAAGCCAAATGTGATGACTTATGTGTGAAATGTCAGCACATGAGAGGTGGAGGTAAGGGAATTGGGTGTTAAAGGTGAGCATTCACTGCATAATGAATTTGAAGCCAGCCTTGTCTGCATGACACCTTGTCTCAAAAACCAAACAGGGCTAGTGAGATAGCTCAGGAGATAAAGGCGCCTGCCACCAAGTGTGATGACCTGAGTTCAATCTCAGGACCCACATGGTGGAGAGAATCGACTTCCACAAGTTGTCCTCTGGCCTCCCCATGTGTGCCACGGCATATGCCCCCCCTGCCAAATAAAAATGTAATGAACCCTTTAAAAATCAAACCAGAAGCCAGGCATGGTGGCAGCACATGCCTTTAGTCCCAGCACTTGGGAGGCAGAGGCAGGCAGATCTCTGTGAGTTCAAGGCCAGCCTGGTCTACAGAGTGAGTTCCAGGCCAGCTGGTGCTACAGGGAGACCCTGTCTCAAAAAGACCAAAATAAATAAATTAAAAAATCCAAGACAAAAAAAAATTATAAGCCATTGTTTTAACATTTTTTCAATTTTAAAAAAATTTAGCTTATTTTTATCTTATGTGTATGAGTGTTTTGCCTGCATGTGTGTATGTGCACCCATGTCATATAGCGCCTGCAGAAACCAGAAGAGGTATAGGGTCCCTGGAACTGGAGTTACGGACAGTTGTTAGCTGCCATGTAGGGACTGGGAACTGAACTCGGGTCCTCTGCCAGAGCAGCCAGTCCTTTTAACTGCTGAGCTAGCTCTCTAGCCCCTCAAGCCTTTTTTGGGGGGGGGTTCTTTTTGAGACAGGGTCTCCCTGTAGCCCCAGCTGTCCTGGAACTCATTATATAGACCAGGCTGGCCTTGAACTCACAGAGATCATCCCACCTCTGCCTCTTGAGTGCTGGGCTTAAAGGCGTGTGCCACCACGCCCGGCACTTTTAAGATTTTTAAATGAATTATTTACAGTAAAATTTACTTTTGTATATCACTCTGAGTTTTGAAAAAAATCTGTCAGGTGCCACTGCAATCAAGATATTTAACAGTTCCAATGACCACTGCTCTGAAATTGGTTTTCTGGTTGTCCGCATTGTTAACTCTAACACCCAGTGGTCTTTCTGTCTAATAATTTACCTCTTCCAAAGTGTCAGAAACGGAGTCATACAGTGTGTAGCCTGTTGAGTGTAAAGTGTTTGACTTGGTGTGATTCTTTGATTCACCCATCTTGTGTTGGGGGTGGGTTTAATAGGGATTAAACCCAGAGCTTCAAACACTGAGAGTTGTACCACCAACCTTCACCTCTAGACCTCCACCATCCATTTCACTGCTGAATAGTATTCTTTTGGATCTACACCACATTTATTCATTTTTTACCACATGAAGAATGTCTAGGCTTCCACATTTGGTGATAATGGAGAAAGCAGCTAAAAACATTTACATACCATTTTTATATCAACTGAACATTTCTTTTGCCTTCATAAATATCTACAATTATTGCTGGATTGAACAGTAGGGCTTGCTTTAACTGCACAAAAACTGACTGACTTTTAAAGATGGCTATCCAGTTTTCATTCCCACCATTCATGTATGTGGTTCCAGTTCTGCCCAGCATCTGAATATTAATGTTTTCTTTTGTCTTTCATTTTGCATCTCATTTCCATAACATGTGTTCAGAACCTATATGTGGTGAAATGTGTTAGAATATTGGCTCTTTTTTTAAATTTCTGTTATTTTGTTGCTTTTTCCTAATGTTCTGAGAACACATCTATTGTCAGTTATATGTTTTGCCATATCTACTAATTGCATGTGTGTGATGGGGCACACATGTGCCCCAGTGCATGTGTGGAGGTCAGAGAATAACTTCACGGAGTCAGTTCTTCCCTTCCACCTTTACCTGGGTTCCAGGGAGCGACCTCAGGTCGACAGGCTTAATGGCAAGTGCCTTCAGCCATTGAGCCATCTTGCCCATCATTTTTTTTAAGTTAATTTTTTTATCTAAAGCTGATTCATTTCAACTAACCTTTGTATAAAGTGTGAGATCAAGGTCCATTTTTTTTTTGTGTATGGGCATTCAGTTAGCTGGCCTTCAACACTGAATTGCTGTCATACTTGTGTGAGAAATCCATGCATTAATCTTTCCCTGGTCTCTGGTTTCCTTGATGTTTGTTGTCTTTACAGATGCTGTGTAACCATAACCCCTTTTAAATTTTTTATTTTTATTTTATGTGTATGAGTGTTACTCTGCATGTATGTTTGTGCACCCATATTGCACAATGCCTGAGGAGGCCAGAAGAAGGCGTTGGAGTCCCTGGAACTGGAATTACTGTGGTTTTAGCCATCATGTGGGTGCTGGGAACTGAATACGGGTCCTCTGCAAGAGCACCCAGTGAACCATAACTCTTAAAAAAAGAAGCTTTAACGGGGCGTGGTGGCACACGCCTTTAATCCCAGCACTCGCAAGGCAGAGGCAGATGGATCTCTGAGTTCAAGGCCAGCCTGGTCTACATAGTGAGTTCCAGGATAGCTGGGGCTACAGGGAGACTCTGCCAAAAAAAAAAAAAAAAAGAGAGAGAGGCTTTGTATGATTTGTTGGAATCAGCATGAGTCTTCCAGATCCATTCCTTTTCAAAATTAATTTGTTCATTTAGATTCTTTGCTTTTCAGTAATTTGTAGAATCAGCTTTGTAATTCTTTAAAAAGTAAACTCAGGAGTTTGCTTAAGATGGCATTAAAGACATATTAAGTTTCTGGACAATTGACATCTTAGTAATATCAAATGTTCTGAGCAACAGATACAGTGTAATTTGTACAACATTCCTTTGGTTTCTTTCATCAGATATGTGTGATTTTCTGCACAGAGGTCTATACCCACTTTGTTCAGTTTATACAGTGGTGTTCCATCCTTCCTGGTGCTAAATTAAGTGAAACTTTTTTCTAACCTCAGTTTTCAGTTGTTCATTGTTAATAAGCAGAAATCCAGTGGGTTGTTTTGTACTGGCCTTGAATGTTCCAATCTCGGCAAACTTAATAGTTGAAGTAGCTGTTCTGTGGGTAATGATGGGATTTTCTGTGCAGTCGACATCATGTGTGAAAACTCTTTATTCTTCCTTGTTGATCTGTGTGGCTGTCAAGCTCCACTGTGCCCCGAGGTCACACCCGCAGGATGGTTTGGATGAATAAGCCCCTCAACCAGTGATCCTTTGGGGTGGCCAAAGAGAGGTGCATACTGTGAGTTAATGTTCAGGAGAAGGTACAGAAGTGGGGGGCTGCGGGGTGTGCAGGAGTTTTTGAGGAGCACAGCCTGCACTTCCTCAAAAGAGCCAACCTACAATCTGCCCGGATGAGGGGATCTATCAGGGAGCGACACACCAGCTTATGGGACACTGGGGGCAGGGGGAGAGGTATATAAGGCTTGCACGTCCCTGCAATAAACGAGTCTGCAGCACCTCGCCTAGTGCCTGCTCTCACTTGACTCCCAGAGTCTGTGGGTTGATTCCACACCACTCACCCCCACCTTGGCCAGAACCTTCATTCCCTGCAGTCCCTCGTGGGCTGGACCCACGAGGAAACCTGTAACAAAACCCAATGAGTTTATTGGGGTTGCTTACAGGAATATGGGAGGGGGGTCACTTACAGAATCAGAAATGACTTGAAGACTTTTTTTGCATCACCAAAGTCCACCCCAGCATGGGTGACAGCTCAGGAAAGCAGGAAACCTGGAGCCACTGCACAGCCGGGAAATCGCTACATAACACCATCCTTACAAAATTGGGCTGATAAGATTAAGGACTTTTAAGTAATTTTTCTTTTAATCCAAAAGATGTTGGCCCACACCTTTAATCTCAGCACTCAGAGAGCAGAGGTAGGAGGATCTCAAGGCCAGCCTCAAAAAAAAAAAAAAAAAATTAAAGGAGTAATTGTGGCCACCAAAGGTCAGATGGGTCAAGTAGGTCCTGGGCTTAAGAGGTAGGGGTGGAGCTACTACTTTGCTGCCTGACTGGATATGGCAGGGGAGTGCTCTCCAGGGGGAACTTTAGTAGAAATTTACTAGACCTTGTGAGTCATGATAACCACAGTCAAAAGTTTGTAGATATTTCTTTTTGTGTGCATGCATTTGTATGTACATGTGTGTGCAGGCGTCAGGAGAAGGCATGGGATCCCTTGGAGCTGGAGTTAGAGGCAATTGTGAGCCATCTGACCTGGGTGCTGGGAACCAAACTCAAGCACTTTACAAGAACATGCTCTTAACTACTGAGACGTTTTTCCAGCCCCTCTGTAGACATTTCTGATATTATGGGATGGTTTCATCAATTTCTCCTCTTAAGACAGTGTCATTAATGTTACATAGCTAAGCTCTTATTTCAGACCAGTTCATTTTAAAAATTATTATTTTTATTTTATGTGTATGAGTGTATTTCCTGCATGTATGTAAGTGCACCAATGTCGTGTAATGCCCACGGAGGACAGAAGAGGGCATTGGATCCCCTGGACCTGGAGTTGGGTTGGTCGTTAGCTGCCGTGTGCATGCTGGGAACAAAATTTGGGTCCTCTGTAAGAATAGTCAGTGTTTTTAACCACTGAGGCATCTCTCCAGCCCCTCAAACAGAAAAGTTCTTAAATATCCTGTCTCAAGGCTGGGCATGGTGGGGCACACCTTTAATCCCAGCACTCAGGAGACAGAGGCAGGTGTATCTCTGTGAGTTGGAGATCAACTTGGTCTACATAGAGAGTTCCAGGCCAGCCAGGGTTACATAGTGAAACCCTGTCTCAAAATTTTTTAAAAAGGTTTTGTCTCCATAAAATGTGAATAATGGTGGGCTACAGAGATTAGACCTTAGGGTTAAAAACTGTGTATGTACTCTAGGAGTCCTTCAAACATAAATGCAAATTGTGGTTGTGATTTTAAAAAAATATTTGACTTATTTTTATTTTGTGTATGAGCATATTGCCTGCATGTATGTAAGTACACCTGTGTTGTGCAGTGCTCATGGAGGTCAGAAGAGGGTGTCAAATTCCCTTGGTACTGGAATTGTGGACGGTTGTTAGCCACCATGTGGGTGTTGGGAACTGAACCTGGGACCTCTGCAAGAGCAGCAAGTGCTCTTAACAGCTGAGCCATCTCTCCAGCCCTGTGGTTGTTATTTTCCAAGAAAATGGAACAGAATAAGATATTTTAGTTAGATGAATTGTAGGAAACCAGGATGCCAGGCCCTAGAGTGAGATGAGCCTCAAACTTCAAACCTTTAAGTCCAGGCTGCATTCTCTGCTAAAGGGAGGGGCACTGAAAAC